TTATTGTTGCATAATTTTAACTCGATGATATAACGAAAAATATATACATTTTAAAATGTCAATACTTTAATTTATCTTATTGTTGTTTTGTTTATGTAATTTTAATTTGATTAAGACATATTTCTTCAATCAAATTTTAAAAATTCTACTTCTCAATTCAAAGAAAAAATATATATTTTTATTAAATGTTGCTTCTAGATTTTTTTAAAGTCCTTCGATTAATAATTCCAAAAAATATATTTGTTTTTTCTCAAGTTTATCCAATATAACATCTAGCTTATCTTTTGAATAAATAAATAAAATAATATATAGAGTCTTGTTTTTCATCCTAAAATATAAATTTTTATTTTGATTTAAATACCGTATTTAGTCCTCCAACCACTAAAGATTCTCAATAATTAAAGTCAAACAATCTAATTGAGTTTTTCTTTTTCCATTTTAATGATCTCTTGGAAGAATAAATTGCAACAAATTTCTTTTACCAGAAATAAATTGCAATAATTACATAAATAAACCATCATTTTTTAAATTTTATTTTAGAAACCAATTTAGGAATACTTCAATACTATAACCTAAATAAATAACAAGCTTTTTTTAATAGTCTTTTTTTTAGTAGCAAGCATTGTTAATAGTTTGAATCTAATTAAATTTCCAAATGTGCAGTTATTTTTTTAGTTATAATTATTTTAAATCACACATATTCAACTCCCAAATTTATCATCTCATCATCCATCTTTTCTTAGTACAACATGTGGGAGTAGGAATCGAATTCACAACCTTTTGGTTAGAGATAAATGTCAATTACCGCTAGACCATACTCGCTTTGGCTCCTATCATCATCAATTAGACCCTAATATATAACAAGTATAAATGAAACAGTAAAAATGAAATATTAAATGCAACTACAAAGTTGACTGAACATTTTCTTTATTATATTTGCAAAATAATATTATTATCACGAGTAATTACTAGCGTCATAATCTTCATTTTATTATTTTAAAAAGTATTTATAAAATCTAATATTTTCTTCCTAAAAGAAATGGGTATTTGTTTTTCAAATTAACATGGTTGATTTATTTAATTTTTTTTTTTTATCTCAAGAGTGTTTTTGCTAATTGAAAACATCTTCTTAGAAAGGACAAAAAGTTATTATCAACAACACATCTATTTTGCCATTAATTTAAATAGACCAAAAAAAATCTTCAATATAATTTATCAATAACAACTAAATAATGTTTCTAAAAAAATTAATTGATAAAATCATCCATCTTTTAGAATCTTCATTCACGTTTCAAAAAAAAAAAAAGGTGAACTTCAAATTTTTTCTTAAACAAAAAGCAAAGCTTGGAAGTGGACAGGGGCTTTTTTTGCTCCATTTTAATTGATTTAGTCTAGAGGAAGGGTTGTCCTCGTTCCTTTTTTGTTCACACTTAATAAAATAACAGAATTCAAGGTTACTTATTTTTATTATTATTTAGTACAAAATTCAGGTTGCTTATAAAGTTACACCAAACTTCTTTTTCATACTTTTCTTATTGATAGTCAACTGCACCTATTAACTTCTATTATAATTATTAAGTTTGATTCACGGGTCACAAGATATTTATTTAACTCTAATAACTTCATAAACCTTTTAAAATCATGTCTATTTAATTTTAAAATATCTTAATAAATTTGTTATTTTTGTGTCTAATAGATTTTTAATATTAACTACGTCATTTTAACATTTACACCACCCAACATAAAAAATGTTTGGAATCAATCAACCATATAATCCTTAAAAAATACAAATAACATACTATAAATAATAAATATATAATTGTTAAAACCGAACATAGTTTTGTGGTAATTGACCTATATCTCTAATAAAAAAGTTGTGAATTATATTTCCTACTCTACGTGTTATACTAAAAAAATAATAAACAATGAAATTAATAATATAGATCTATCTGTTATACATAAAACTAAAAGTAGAAGACCAATTAAAAATATTTTAAATTAAAATGATAATATAATGGTATGTGAAGATTAGATCTTAGATCCTGTAGCATAAAGATGTGCAATCTCGGCTAATCATTTGTTAAATGTTAGTTCATAGTCAACGACTAATCTGAGGTTGTTGTTGGGTTTTTTTCTTCTTTTTTTTTTGGGATAAAAAAATGAAGATACCCAGCATGTTTTCAATCATTTGGGTAAATAAATACGTGTTGGCTGCACGTGTGTGTGGCGCGTTGACTTTTTCTTTTTCACTTTTTTCCCCTTTTTATGAGACTTTATTTTTTAATCTCTCGCTGTTGATCTCGTTGATTAATTTAAGTAACCATCAATTTTGGTTAATTTAATTGTATGGCGGCTCTAAGGCTTCTTTTATTTCTTGATTTATCCAGTTTTACTTTTATTTTTATTTTCATTTGTTTAAATGAAACGATCAGTCAAAAGTGCGGCCTGTGGTCGTTGTTTATCGATAAGTTTGCACCGTAGGGAGATTCTTACTTCTTTTTGAAAAAAAAAGAAAGAAAAAGTGTTATATATATATATTCAAAATATGAACTTTCCATAATGGTAAAAGGTGAATTTTCCCTTAAAGACACGTCATGGGCAAGGTTGAGAGAGGACCACATGTACGAATCTCATGAATCAAGAGTTTGGATATAGACTCGGAGAATTAACACGACGGAGTTGTCGAACTCTTGAATTTGAATTTGAAATTGGATACTTACCGCAACGGTTATTTGAACTCTCTATAAATAAAGGTTAAAGATTCACAATTAAGATAGGGTGAAAACCCCTACTCTCAAGCTAAACTTCACAAAAATCTCGACTCTAACTTAAGCATCGGAATGTGTATGGCTCTACACCGATGTGTTATTCTTTTTATTTTTCAAGTTACCTCAATTCTATTTAGTGCAAATTTGGTCGTCTTTCCATGCTAAAATGATGCATCAACCACGTTTAAAAGAACAAAAAAATAAAATAAAATAAAATAAAAGTACAGTTGTTATATATATATATATATTTATGCTATTAAACCATTCCTTTTTACCATGCTAGATTTATCTTTAATGCAAAAAGTAGTATACATTTTGATAAAATACATTTATTTAACACGTTGTTTAAAAACTAAGATTTCATTTTCTCTAAACAAGGAATTTTGACGTGTGGTGTGTGCGGATCTCGTTTTCCATCATCGTATTTGATTTGACATCGTTTTCCTCAAAGTGACATTAATGCCTTTTGGTGGCTGCTACGTAACCTTCTTGTTTTGGACCCAAAGCAATGGGCAATTTTGTAATCTTGTAGTGTTTTTCATCTTCTCTTCTTATTATTATTGAAAGTTAAATTAATCGTGTCATAAAAGAAAAAGAGAGTTAAATTAATCGTCGAATGTTAGGGGAGGATATTTTTGTCTTCTGGTGAGTCTAAAAGGGCAAATAAGGTGTCTGGGAATTAGTTCTGAAATTTCATCTCTTGGCCTTTAAAGTTAATTCGTCAACATCTACAAAACTAATATGGATAATGTTTCTCTTTATTTATTATTTTATATCCTTTTGTTCAATTTTGTCCGCTCATTCTTTATCGTCAACCAAGTAAATATTTATTTGCTAAACAATTTGGATACCAATTATTTTTTTCAAGTAAAACCAACCAATTAATTTGGTATTCACAATCGTCATAAATAATCTTCATTCAATTGGCTATGGACCTTTTTACTTTTATATATAATATTTACCGTCTTCTAAATTATTCACTATAGAAGTTTCTAAAGGTAGTATATATATTACGACATAATGGAAAACTAATATTTTATAGAAGAATAAAATTACATGAATATAATTATCGTCTCGATTTAAAGATGAAATTTTCAATTGGAATAGTAAATAAGTTCTCATTGTTATTTAGTCGACGAAAAAAAGCATCGAAATATAGATATATCACGACGGATTTGTAAACTATGGAGAGACTTCTCTGCATTGAAAAAACTAAATCTTTCTTGTTGTGACACTACTAGAGAATCTCACTGCCAAATATAGAAGATATGTTTTGTGTATTAGCAACCATCCCATATCCCTGTGTTCCTTATAAAGAGTTTTTATTATATCTGATAATTCCAGTCTAATCTTTGAGTATTATTCACTCAAATTTGGTCTTCTATGAACTGATTAATTAACTTGTTTATTTAAATATCTCATTAAATAATAATATGTTATCCATTTAAATTAATAAAATTTACAATTTTGATATCACAATCATACGCATCTAAGTATAGTTTAATGGGTTAAAGACACATATTTCCAACTCAAAAAATCATGAGTTGAATGTCTACCTCCGATGTTGTATTAAAAAAAGAACCTCACTATCATATTCATTTATTATATGATTCCGTACACTACATTTTATTATTATAATTTATCAAACAAACATAAAATACCACAATAGAATTTTGTTTAAAATTATTTTTCCTTCCCCCATTTTATATATTTTGTTTAAATAATTCTCTACACATGATGTCATGTGTGGTATGACATCACGTATAGTGATAAAGACGTGGGAGAACACATTCTCCATGTTATCATTTTTTTTTTTTTATAAATTACATTTTAAACCTTAAAAAAAAACTTCGCACATATGAGTAAAATATTTTATTAGAAGGGGAAAGGTTGTCCTTTGTTCAAGATAGAAAATAAGATACGTAATTCTTTACATCAATTTATTCAAAATTATTTGGTCTTCATATTCTTTTACATAGAAAAATTGGTCCCCGCAAATCCGAAATGGTCCCAAAACTTGGCTGGATGTATTATAAAGAGGAAAAAGATCCAAAGTCATTTAAATGTTGATGTTAACTTTTAAAATCAGGGTCAAATTAAAGAAAGAAAATTAAAATTACTCATGATTTATGGATAAACAATGTTTTAATAAGTTGGTAGCTAGATTAGTTATATATGAAAATGAATATAAATAGGCTGAAAGAAGAATAAAAGGAAAGAAAATAAGATTATATATTAAAAATTTGGAAGTGGAAACATTAATGAAGTATGATTTGAAAGTTGATATTGTTCCCAGGCTGGTTGGGATGATTTTTATGTAATATGATAAGAAATAAAAGTGAAGTACACGTGGACTGCAATTTGTAGGGTTAAATCGATAATCATGCAACCGAGGGCCGACACTACGTGTCACTAGCCAGTTGCCAACACAACGGTGCCACAACCGTACAAGGCCACCACTATCAAATTAAAGTTTGAATTTTCCTTTCTTCCACTCTCAAATTTTCTACTCTCCCAAAAAGAAAAAGGAAAAGAAAAATGCTGTTCTTATGTATAAATTTATTTTTTCTTTCTTGATGTGAAAATTTGGTTGGTATCTTTTGTAGCAAAATACATTTCGGGTGGGATGGAATTGCATGAAAACAACATTATTAATAAGACAGAATTAAAAGAGATGTCCAATTTGGACCCACTAGGTTAATTAGTGTGCGAGCTCAAATATGGTGCAACTACAATATTCCTATTCCTTGCCCTTCCTCGCCTACACGTGGACCTTGGATTGGAATTAAAAGAAAAATTATAATCTTCTAAATTCAATTTCATAAACTTAAGTATTATATGCTTTTTTCAGTTTGAGGAGCGAAAGGGAAATAATTTAAAGACAAGGATGGAATGGGAAGAGAGGGGGGACCGATCTCAGCCTGTCAAAAGAACAAAAAAAAAAAAAAAAAAAAAGAGAAATTGTGAGATTGGGACCCAAATATCTGATAAAGGGATTCAAATCTTAACTTTCCCACTAACCAGTTTAATCATCAAACTTTTGTTCCATTTCAAACTTAATTTACATTATATTATTCAATTATACATTAAAAAAAAATACGATGGCTTTTCAGATCTTGCTTTCACTTTTTCTATTTGCATTAAATAAATCTTAGATGAAGACAAAGTATTATTGTAAACCTCAGATACTCCATATATATATATATATATATGTTTTATGGATTATTTAATTTTTCGATTCAAATAGTAGGAATTTTGTTCCTTTTTTTTAACACTAATTTTAAATTTGAAACTTTAAAATTTAGAATTATATTAAGAAAAGATAAATATTTTTTTTATAAACGTATTGTTATAAACTCATTTAATTTTTTGTAACTAAAATAGGTAAAATATAATATATTACAAATGATGTAATATTATAAAATAATAATTATAAAATTTATAACAAATATATTAATAAATTAAATAATAATATTTTAGATTGAAGTAAATATTTAGATGTTCACAAATATATTACTAAACACATTTAACAATTTTCTAAATTGTAGTTCAACTTTAAAATCTGCAACGAAATACATATTTGAAAACACTCAAAAATATAACTTGTTTTTTATTTAATTCCTTAATTTTTAAATTTTTGTTTTGAGATCATCAATAAAATTCACCCTTGTTCTAATCTCTCCGCACCATACAAATTCTTGGAAAGGAAAAACCTGCAAATACTTGCCAATTTAGAGATAGATTAATAATTAAGATATTAATAACAATTTGACAATGGAGATAGAAACTATTATAGAATCAATAAACATTGTTAAGACACCTATTTTTACAAATTCGAATTTTTGCTCCCAAGCAATGGAAAAATTCAAGAGAGAATAAGGGTCGTGGGGGCAATTTGCAGCTACTCAACTCTAAAGGACAGTGGGTCCCTCCTCTTTATTATAATTAAATACTGCATTATTGTTTGGCTATTTTCGTGGAGGAAGATAATAGACACGTGATATATTTTTTTTAATAAAAAATTGATATATATATATATATTTTTTTTTTCTCTCTCTTAAAGAGAGGCATATGATATATATATAAACTTTTTTTTTTTAAAGGGAAGCATAGGAAGCTCACGTGCGAGCTTGCTAAGGCATTGCCACAAAAATCAAAATTCATTCCAACACTCGTAAGCATCTACCGATGAAAACTTGGGAAAAGTGTTATAATTTTTACTCTGTATTCAATTCTCTCTAATTCACTATTTAATTTAATAAAAAATATATTAAAATTTGAAAAAACTAATTAATTTAATGAAAAATAAATATGGTACAAAATTAAGTGTGTCTAATCGATTGTGAAGAAACTTGAAACTTACAAATTTTCATATAAAAAAAGCTTTGATATCCTTTTTGCTGGAACTCTATCAATTTCCTTCTAAATATACTTTTTACAATTCATTAAACATATGAAAATATTTTTTCAATAACTTTTCAAACGAAAATATTTATCAAAATTTAAGGTGCAATTCGACGAAATTGAAAGTTTAATGTAAAAATTGATATAACTAACCGAATTCTGAGTAAACATTGATATTCACTCCTTAATACTAAATAATTAATCTCAATTCATTTGGAATTTTAAGCATTGGATGATTAATTGGTTCAAAAGAGTTAAGATTAATTAAGAGGGGATGAGTTCAAATCCACGACGACCTTTTATATATATATATATATATATATAAAAACCAGGATGTACCTACTTCCTAACTGATTTTGAAGTATCTTAACTATATGAATTCCGTTCGGGTTGGCATCACTTGCGAGATTAGTGATGTTTTGAAAGTCATAGTTCCATACATCAAATATAGATTTAATTTCTAAAACTCTAAACTATTAAAACCCAACCCATAGGCTATAACTAACAACCTCTTAAGATATTTAATTCTGTTGTGGGCTCAAGCTCTGTTGTTGCAACCGCCCCTCCTCAGAAGGCACTCATCTTTTAATTTAGGTTGTAATATTAATGAATTATGAAAGTATATATTATATTTCCAAGTCTACATCTAACATTTAATATGTGAATAATATATATATATATATATATATATATTAATGTATGATACTGTTTTAAAAAGTCAACACTTGAATCAATCCCATTTAGAGAAAAGTTAGACGGAAACAAAATGAAATTATTGTGCCGTCCAACATCGATGAATATGTTTAAATGGTTAAAACATTACTAATATATGGATTGGAAGTTCTAATTTCCAAACACATTATATGATTTTTTGCACCCAATTAAAGTTAAAATGGGTTTACTTATTTTTTTAGTTACAAATTCTTCATCGTTGTTACCAGAAAATTTGAAATTAAACCAATCATTTACGTTATCCAATTCCAAATGAATCAAAACTATTTAGAAACTAAAAGTTATACTATTATGAATATCTCTACTTAGGTATCAGAATTGAACATGAACGACAGTATTTCAAAGATTTAAACCAATGCTGACTATTTACAGAAGCAAGTAAAATAGCATTAAAGTTGGCTAAATGATAAAAGTACATATTTTTCTCAATCAATAAATCTAGCAGTTACATTTCAAACTATCTAAATTAATTAAAAAAAACCATAAACATATCTAATTCAAATAAGCCCACCTCATTTAAACTCAAAGATAACTCATAATAACTCAAGCATAATTCACTACCTAGGGCTCACCTTGGTTTTATGAATGCTCAACATCACAACCAACAGCAGTAAATATGATGCTCAAGCCAAAAATGGAGACTGATCAGAAAAAAATGCAAGGAGAACTGTAACCATAGCTAACTATCAACAGATACTGATGGTGTTTCCTCAACTTAGAACAAATACATATAGTGGGGAATTCAACAAACTAAATATCAGGGAAGAAGAAGAAGTTTCAAAAAGAGCAGATAAGGGAGAGTTAAGGATGTCAATAAATGAAATTGTTTGAACAAATTCATCCCACAATCTGTCTCTATGTAACCATTAATCACCAAAAAGAAACTTAAAAACCAAAGCCCTTGGGTGTTATATTGTTACTCGTTTCCAGCATGCCCAATAAGAGTATAAAGAGAGATCCTACTGTCAAATGGGCATAACTTATCAAAATTCAAAAGGGGTATTTTGTTATTCACTGTAGACAATGCATATTCTCTTCTAAACAATGTAGATGCAGCCATATTCTAACTCTAATATATCCCTCTTCATCCAACACTATTTCATTGGAGTTGAAAAGCAGCATCAAATAGAAGAAGAAAACAAACCATAAAAGAACAAAAGAACAAAATCTAGTGAACTTACTGGCTCTCCAAAGAGTAAAGCAATGTTGCAATGATCAATCCCAATTGAGACACAGTCATGTGGAGAGTGAACAAAGAACATATCAGAACTTTCCCACCATCAACATATAATAATCCATGGTACAGCACAGTAAAATCCCACCACCAATCAAAGATAAGTGGCAGTAGGTATAACATCAGAAGAAAAACTCCACAGATGCATGTGAAAAAGGGTTTAAATAATCTTCTCTTTACAACATTTCATTCATATGACTACCAACATTAGATAACAAATTGTGTTTTTCCCTACCTCAGGCATCTAAATTTTCCATCTGAATACTGCTTTTGAGAGGAACATACTCACCAAGATATCCACCCAGATGATCATGCAAAGCGAGCTTATCAATTCCCTGATGGTGGAAGCTCTTACAGACGTAGTAAAACACACTCTGAACCAGCAATCCCACCAAGTTTACAATCACCAAAACGCCTACCAAAAAGCCACCGACAACAATCCTCACAAAAACTCCATAGCCATCTCCGCCGTGCACGACCACGGCCCCAAAAATGCCGCCGATTGTGGCACAGATCGCCAAATAGACAAACACGAGCACCACCGCAAATCGGGTTTTCCCCTTCAGCAACTCGTAGCTCTTCTTCATCGCGGCGAGTCCGTAAATCGGTTCAAGCACCGACACGACGCTGGCCAAATGCCATAGGGCGGTGATGTACACGTGCACGACCAGGAAGAGGATGAAGATCACGACGACGCAGAAGAAGAACAGTAAGTAGTTCTGGGTATCGATTGCGAGAACAAGCAACACCAAGAAGGCGAAAAAGATAAAATTATAGACTATCATAAGAAGAGACACCCAGAGAAATGTGACGAACAGGCGCTTGAAAACCTTGGGAATAGCGGAGATTGTGGAGGAATAGGAGACGGGCTTGGAAGTGTAGAGGGAAGCGACGGTGAAGACGACGGCGGCAGTGGAGAGAAGAGAGAAGGCGAAGAGAAAAATAAGGTAGCAGAACTGGAAGGAGAGGAGCTTGGCCCATCTATGGCGGGTCTGAATGGGGTCGGCGAATGGGTTTTGGAGCTGGAGGAGAAGTGGGTGGGTGAAGAGGGAGTGGGCTAAGATGGCGAAAGAGAGGGGGAAAATGAGGGTAAGAGTGATGAGATAGAAGGTCTTGGGAGAGCGTTTCGGAATCAAGATCGATTCTCTGAGAATGTCTGGAATGGTGAAGAATTGCAGCTCTTCTGGGGCAAGATCCATGATTGTTTCTATGGGAAATCTCTGATTCGGCGGCTGAAATGTTTCAAAAGAGAAGGGTTTAATTCAAAAGAAACATGGCTGACGAACGTGAAATGGATAAAGCTTAGATCGGAGACGGATCTTGCAAATTGAAAAAAGAAGGAGAAGGAGGAGGAGTCAACAGTGTGAAAGGTGGATGATGCCCACCACCATGGCGGTCACATTTTATTATTTATTATTCTTATTAGGAAAAGGACGAATTTGAGAAAGAAACACTGAAAAATATCGGGCTTGTTATTAAATGGGCCGTATTATTGGGCCTTTGGGGGCGTTATTCTCTCAGCCCAATCGACGATTTCTACCTTACAACAGGGGGTAAAATGAGAATCTAAGCTGAAGTTCGGGTGGGTAAAGTATTAATAAACAGTATAAAGAAAAATATAGGGTATTAAAAAAATTTAGAATTCGTAAATGGGTAATTACAGCTGGAAATGTCAATTTAGATTTTTTTTTTTTTTACTCTGGAGTACGTGAGAGTGAAAATTCCATGATATAAGTGCCTTTTATAGTCTGGAAATATAACTTAAAAGTATATCTAAATGATTAAAATATTAGTAATGGGTGAAGATTTGGATTTTCAACCCATAGTTGTGACTTTATATTCTTAAAAAAAACTACCTCATGAAATAAAACATAAAAATTTTAAAATTTTCGGAATCTCTTACACTAAATAGAAACCAAATTCAAATTTTAGACACCAAAAGTTTAATTTATCTAAAATAAAATATATATACATTTTTTTTAAAGGTAAATTGCAAAAACTACCTCTCAAGTATGGTAATTGTTATAATGACACCCTTAAACTTTCAATGGTAAAATTTAAACCCTTCAACTATTACCGATGAAAAAATTAGACCCCTACGTTTTCACAAGTAAAAATTAAATCCTTAAACTTTTCGAAAATTGTACTCTAAATTTTCCAATGGTAAAACATTAAACGTTCACGTTGAAAATTACATCAATTTGAAAATTCCACTTTTTGACAAACAACAACTCCTGTTTGGCTCCAATAATGCAGCCGGAGAGCCTTCTTCAACCACTGAAAATTTGTCTCAACCGACGAATCCAGAAATTCGAGAAGGAAATAACTACGACAAATTCTGCCATGGGAGAAATTGTTGAAGTCTACATCAGTCTTGGCGATGGTGAGGGAAATGGGGTCGCCGGGCAATAAAGAATGATGGATTTGGGAGAGTCGACGGCCGGATGCGATTTTCGGCCCGGGGAGGAAGTGCTCGAGAGTGAGAATGAGAGACAATGGAATTGAAGTTATAAGAAATGGAGGATCTGGTAGGGAGGAAGAAAAGAGAGCATGGTGGGAGGGTAGAGAATTCAACGACGGAAGAAGAAGAATCACGTGGCAGAAGAAGCTCTCCGACGACATTGCCTGAAGAAAAGCTCACCAACGACATTCATGAAGCCGAATCGAAGAAGATTTGTCAATTTTCAAGTGGATCCAATTATTTTAAATTYGAGGGTTTAATTTTTACAATTGAAAAGTGATGTGATACAATTTTCTCATTTATTAAAATTTAAGGGTTTAATTTTGACTCTTAAAAGTTTTGGTATCTAATTTTTTCATAGGTAAAAATTGAAGAGTTTAATTTTTGCAATTGAAAGTTTAGGGGTCTGATCCACATACTTTCTTGTTTGACTTGATAACTCGAAAAATTCAGCTGTCGGAAAGAAAACAAGGAGTTTACTACGCAGGCTTTTTTTATGGGGAGAGAGTAAAGTAAGGAGGGTTTGCTTGGTGGCTCTCAGGGCTTCTSGTCGGTTTTGTTTTAAGGTATTCCCTTTCATTAGCTATGCGAGGTTAGACCTTGACTGAAAGGAAAGGAGAAGGGACGAGTGGCTCTGATAACTGCTGTTTTAAGTTTAGGGGTGCAATTGTAACAACGAGGGGTGGTTTTTACAATTTACCCTTTTTTTAATACATGAGTGGGAAGAATCGAATCATGACCTTCTGATTAGAGAAGCTAATTATCGCTAAGCAAGAACTCCAATTAACTACTTGTGCATTTGTTTTAGTACAATATATGGGGATGAGAGATCGAACTCATAACATATTGGTTTGAGATATATATCAATTATCATGAATTATGGTTAGAAAAATGAGAAATATAAATATTTCTATTCCCACGTAAGTAACCAATATGAATAGATATTCTTTTTATTTCAATTACATACAATTTCTAACAAATCGTATTAAACCATTTCTATTCGGATTAATTTCATCTCGGTTGATCTTCATTCCCATTCGTCTGGTAAGCAAATTAGGCCTAAGTTCACGAGAGAGATCGACAAGTTGAGATGCAGACGACGGGAACAATTTCTGCCGACTGGGTTTGAAAAGAAATCTAGACAAGTAAGTGTTCTGAAATGTGTCCACCCACAGCTTAAACTGAAGCGCGCAAAAACAACTAACAGGAATAATCGCCATGGCAGCAATCGTGGCCGGAACCCAAACATCCGCAGACTCATGGTAGAGTATAAAGAACGTTGCACTAAAGGCCACAACCATGCACACAATGGACACGAACAACGACGCAAGTCCAAACAGCAACCCAGAGGGCAATGAATACAAGAAATCATCTTCCGTGTAGCGCGAAGTTAGGATCGACAAGAACATCAGAATCGAAGATGAGGACGACACCAAAGCAGCCGCATCCGATATCACGAAAATAGTGAACCACAAATTTTGCTGAAAAATTGGAGTGCCTGAATTGTTATCAAAACCGCCGGGAACCGTGAAGGATGCGGCGAAAACTACTGTGGCGATCAGCGTTGCTACCAGCATGCATGAGTTTGCTGTATTTTTCATCCACTCCTCGCCTTCTCTACGGAGATTTTTGTGCTCTTCGCTAAATAACTCATGAGGCGTCAATTTGCGAGGATCATCGCATTTTGCGTCGAGCTGGGAAGGCAAAACTATCTTCTCAACTTCTTTGAACCAAAGCAACTCACGTTGCATTTGGAGAGCGGCTCCTGAGACTCTATTGAGATGGTTTGAGGCAGCTAGTTTTGCAGCCAAATGTAGCATGTTGTAATTTTCTTTGGTGGTTGTTTTGTATTTTGTTGAGAAGTCCCTGAGCCCACTAATCTCGTGGATTAGATTGAACACATTCTCGAGGCGATTTTCGACAGCTACATGAAATATGCCCTTACCATCGTCGTCTTCTTCCCATACAATGTCGGGATATCTACGGATAAGAATTATTAGAAACTCGACATTTCCAGCCCTTGCAGCATCATGGAGTAGTTTTGTGGGATGTTTAATGAACTCCAACATGTCCTCGTTCTGTGGCAAATCTAGTAGAACATGTCTCCATAGTACTTCGACTAATTTACGAGCTGATGTCTTCCTTACATCCTCATCGTAGATCCCTTTGATGCCTGTTAGTCAAAAGATGAAGCCAAGGTTCAACGAAATAAATCAATATGTATGTCTACCACCCATGAATTAAAAGCTTAAGCTCATAGGTTAGGGTAAATTTAATTCATTTATGGATGTCTAAACACTCTCCTCRCTTGTTGGCTTGTAAATTTGCACAAAATCCAACGAGTAGAAATTAATATAAATAGGATGAAAATAACACAACACAAGGGTTCAAACACATAACCACCAAAAAAAAGTACAAGAGTTATCTAGTCTCTTATGATTTCACCTATAAATTAAATCTTCCGAGTATACTACCATTTTATATATAATATGTAATAAGAATCTAATTTGTTTGGGGGCAAAGTTTGCTACATATTATATATAAAATGATAGTGTACCAAGAGATTTTGCATGAGTGAAATCATAAGAAAAGCTAAAAGAAGATACCAGATAACTTCTGTGTACTTTTTTTATGCTCCAATACCATGGTGATTAAATGACCAATGAACTCAAAAACTTAAGACATACCATGTTGATGCTGCGTGTGGAGAAATGTAAAGACAAAAATGAAACGATTAAAGAGTATAAATATGGTCCGTAGTTTGGAGATATAAACTAACAAGAGTTGAGACACTTTTTCCAAACGTTTATCTCATCTCTGCTACTGATTGCCGATGGTTTTCTGGCCAACACATGCAATGCTGTCTCATTATTATTCTTGGTATCTCTCATAGCCGCTAAATTTGGATTTTTCTTAAGAATCTCCAAACTTATATCTGTGAAGAGAAAATGCAACCCAAATTAGAGATCAGAGATGAAGTTAAAGCATATGCAAGAACATTGAAGAATATCTTGATTATCGATTTACCATAAAAGCCGCTGTGTATGGTGGCAATAAGAAGCTCAATCTGATCTTGAGATTTGAGTTGGTTGAGATCAGTGACAGACAAGAGGTATGAAACCATTTCTCTATGTTTGTACGATATTGCCATGAAAAGTGGAGTGACGTTGCCAAAGCCACAAATAAGTGGCAGATCTCTATTTTTCTCCACTATCAGCTTAGCAATTGTTATGACTCCCGAGGTAGCAGCAAAGCAAAGGGCAGTGTTTCCATGCTTGTTTTGCAGTGTCATGTCAACTGGGGTTATTATTTGGATTAGCTTCTCCACGAAAGCAGTATGCTTGCATCCGGCAGCAATGTGTAGAGCATTCTCGTGGTCTCGCGTTATGGATTCAGTTGCTCCCAGTGATGGGTAGTCATCAAAGATAGATTCAGCCCTTTCCCAGTCACCGTTCAGTGCAGCGTGATACAGACGAGTTTTTGCCACAGCTGAACAATCATACACACACATATATTATATGTTAACCACGCCCAAATCACATGTGGGTTGATTTCAGGTATTTCTTAAGTACGAAAAAAATAACTAAACTTAACATGAAGGACACGAAGAAGAGGCCTATTGACACATCAATCCCAAAATCAATTAACTATCAGAGAAAAGATGGTAGAACTTATGCTATAAACCTTTGTTAAGTCTGACATCTTTTCAACCTGAGATCTAACTACTAAATAGACCATAGATCCTAGAAATTTTTAGAATATAGGAACTAATTAAATAGACAAATAATTTAACCCAAAAAAATTTGTCACACACTCCAAATAGACCAACTATATATGGTCTATTATTTTCGGTATAATTGCATCAGGCTTATAAGCCCGTACTAGTAAGGAGGTATTTTCGAAAGGGGACGAAAACTATCTAAGATCCTGTGTCGGTTTAGTAGCACGTAAACTATCGAAAAATTAATCCTACACCATGGATGATAGAAATGCTAACCAATTCCATCAAAGTAAGGTAGGAGGATTCTTCTTGCACCATCTTCAAACTCTTTTCGGACGTTGAAGACTTGGAAATATTTTAATTTTTTTAATACTTTAGAAATGATTTTGAATTTTTTTTATTTGGTTTAAAATGATAAATAAGTGGGATTAATATATATATATATATATATATATATATTAATTTGGTTATCATTGGAAATGCAAAGTAAGAAAAGAAGATTTAAAAAGTTGAGATTAGAATGTATACCATGGGGTCGAGATTTAAACTCCCGACGGCCTAATGGCCTAATGTTCAAGTGGGCAATTCAAAAATACAGTATAAGACAAACCGAATATCAAATAAATATGAGATTCCTAACTTGAGAAAATTTCTACATAATGCTATGTTTTGAATTTGAATAAAGTATATAGTAATTATATTTTACCGATCAGAAGTGTGACTCGGCGGATGGTGTTCTTGGCGTCGGCATCGGGATAATGGGGATGCAGTTCATTATCGGAGGCTGCTGCAACATCTATTGTACTCTGCTGGCCGGCGTGAGCCGTGTACGGCGGAGGAATGTGGTTTTCTCCGACGACAACCATTGCTTCACCGTGGGATATTGGTCTCGTACTGTTATTCACGATTCTCCTCAGTCCTCCCTCTTCCTTCCAGTTCTCACTTTCTGTTTCTGCTTACAAATTACAATATAGACTTTATTGTTATTCCACTGTCCACTGTCGGCTGTGTCGTCCTACAACACCTCGCGGGTGGATCCAGTTGAATTAAGCCCCACCTCAATTTTCTCTCCCTTTCCTTATTTATCTTCAAATGTATAATTTAAGGTCAGCATTGTTTCAGATATATATTTTATAAGAAGGAGAGAGAAAAATAGAATCAATGAGAGATAAAAGACAACCGGTATCCCAAATATCTCTACAATAGGTTAAGGAGTTAAAAAGTATTTTAATTTCAAAAGTGTGTACAATGCTGGTGATTTAGATCGATAATCAGAGTCATTTGAAGTGGTTTTTATGAAAACCGAATCCTACAGGAACCATAGTCATTGCAGTAACCACTGCAGGAAGCCGAATATTAGCCTCATGGTAGAGAATAAAGAAGGTTGCACTGAAGGCCACGACCATGCACACAATGGAGATGAACAACGACGTGAGGCCGAAAAGCAATCTAGAGGGCAATGAGTGCAAGAAATCGTCTTCTGCGTAACGCGAAGTTAGAATGGACAAGAAAATCAAAACAGAAGTTGAGGATGAGATCAAAGCAGCCGCATCTGATATGGTGAACATGGTGAACCAAAACTTTTGTTGAAAAATAGGAATGCCTGTATTTTCAAAATTGCCGCCCGGGACTGTGAAGGCTGCTGCAAAAACCACAGTAGTGATCAGAGTTGCAACCAGCATGCAGGAATTTGCTGTGTTTTTCATCCATTGCTCCCCATCTTTGCGGAGGCCTTCATGCTGATTCGTGAATATTTGCCGTGGTGTGAATCCCTCGTCACATCTGGCCTCTAGTTGGGAAGGTAGAACTATTTTCTCCATTTCCTTGATTCAATTTTGAAATGTCAAAAAAAAAAAAAAAAGATTTTGATGTGTGGGCAGTAATTGAAGGTCCATGTAAGTATTGTTTCTAATTTTCTAAAAAAAAATTTATGCATTTTGTAACTAACTCTATTTCTTATTGCTCTTTTTTTTTTGGAATATTCTCAAAATTGTATAAATATTTTAGAAACAACCAAAAAAATGTTTCTTATTTCTTGTTCCCATGGTTAAAGATGAATAAACTGTCATTCAATTTAAAAGCTTAAATTGATAGGTCGGATTTATTTATGGATATCTAACACTCTATCCATTTGTGGGTTTGGAAAAATTGCAATAAGACCCAACAAGTAGAAATCATAATAAATGGGAGGAAATAATAATGGAGGTCGCAAAACGTAAATAAAAAGATTATTTTATGATACTTGAATTCATGGATGTTGGAGTCATTTAATTAATTTTTCTTTATTAAAATGAACAAACTAAAACGTTACGAAACGAACTTTAAACAAGTACCTTGAACCAAAGTAATTCGCCTTGCATTTGAAGAGCTGCTCCTGAAACCCTGTTGAGATGATTTGGAGCCGCTAGTTTTGCAGCCAAATGCAGCATGTTGTACTTTTTGTCATTAGTTAATCTCTCTTTTATTGTGAATTCGTTGAGCCCACCGATCTCATCTATTAGGTTAAACACATTTTCAAGTCGATTTTCAATAGCTACATGAAATATACTCTTACCATCATCATCTTCTTCCCATACAATATCTGGATACGACCGAATAAGAACAATCAGAAACTCAATATTTCCTGCCTTTGCAGCCTCGTGTAGTAATCTTGTGGGATGTCTAATCAGCTCCAACATCTCCTCATGTGTTGTCACAAATAAAACTTGTGCAAACAAAAATTCAACTAATTCACGAGCTGATGTCTTCATCACATCTTTATTGCAGATCCATTTGAAAATAACTGTCCTCAAAAGATTAATCAAAGGTTCCTTCAATGAATGAATGAATTGCATGTATATATATATAAATAAATAAAGAGTGGTACAGGTAATTAATTTGGATAAACTAACAAGAGTTGATGCAGATTTTCCAACTGTTTAAATGCATTGTGCTACCAATTGCTGATGGTTTTCTAGCCATCACATGCAATGCAGTCTCGTAGCCATTCTTGGTGCATTTCATAACCGCTAAATCTCGATCCACGTCTAGAATTTCTAAACTTATATCTGCGAAAAGGAAATACGCATTAATCCAAATGAGTTGAGATATTAGATTAATGGTGTGTTTGAGAGTGATTTTGGAAGGACCAAAATCACTGCTCTTTCATGGATCATATTAGGTTTGGCAAAATAAAAAATTGATTTTTAAGGTATCACTCGGACGATCATTTTGGAAAACCAATTATACCTAAAATTATAAGCTGTTAGTGAAAAATTTGATCGAGTTACCGTATAAGTCGCTGTGTATGGTGGCAATAAGGAGGTGGATCCGTTCCTCAGAGGTTAGGTTGTTGAAATCAGTGGCAGACAAGAGATAGGAAGCCATTTTTCTACGCTTATAGGATATTGCTATGAAAAGTGGAGTTATTTGGTCAAAAGTACGAATAAGGGGAAGGTGTTTGTTGTTGTCCACCATAAGCTTGGCAATTTTTACAACTCCAGATGCAGCAGCAAAGCAAAGGGCAGTGTATCCATATTTGTTTTGCAAAGTCAAGTCAGTGGAGGTCATTCTAGGGAGTAGCTTCTCCACCAAGGCAGTTTGCTTGGCTTTGGCAGCGATGTGAAGAATAGTGTCTTTATTTCTTGTTATCTCATAGCGAACGCAATTGGGGAACTTGTCGATCACTCGCTTCACATATCCCCACTCACCACTTAGTGCAGCTGCATGTAGAAGAGATGCTCTCCGATCTGAAACATATATTCCATGGATTTTTTTAAAATAAGATGAATTTGATGTTTGCCAAAAATTAAAATTATTTTTCGATCATAATGCTACACTCTATGAATATTATGATAAGAATCTTAACAAGGATTTATAATAGACATGAACTACTTTTCTTATTACTAATTGGTTTTGATATTGAATTTAATAAATATTAATATAGTATCAAAATCCAAAACGAGTTGGATCTCACATGAACCCCATAAAATATTAATAATGTTGTCATGAATTTTATTAAAAGATTTTTGTTGGATATAAAATATGTACTAGAAAAGAGTTTAAAGTCTCAAAGATATATTTTTTTTTGTCCCATGGATATGTCACACGCTACTACAAAGTTAATATAGATTCGATATATTAAACATTTAAAAATTAAAATATTATTGTATCCTGAACAAATCACCACTCAACCCAAAAGTTTAAATTAATGGGTTGGATAAATTTAATTGATATAGATATATATTTTTGATATTTTGGAAGTGAATCCTTGATTCAAACTACGTGAAACAAAACAATTTTTACACTTATAAGTCTTATTTTAAAGAATCATTTTAAAGTAAAACTTACATTTCCTAATTTAAAATTTTAGTTTCATGTATTTGTTTGTAATTCACTCAAAGCACGTACGTGGATAAAAATTGATGGCAGGCAAAAATTGTTTCATCTAAAATGTTTATTCAAGATTCAAAATTTCTTAGAAGAAGAAAAAAACTGGCCATGTGATTCAATTATAGAAGGTTATAATTTGGAAAAACGTCAAGTGTTTATCTGTAACTTGGTAAAGTAAGTGGATTGATATCAAAAGGACAAATGTTTTGCAATGCGCAAATTACCTTCTTTGGTCCTTTTGGGATAGACGTCATCATCCGATTCCGAGGCTTCTGCAACGTCTATTATCTGCCTCTCCGCAGCCGCTTCCAGTTGGGTGTCGTCCGCCGTATACGGCGGAGGAATGACCTCTACTTCCTCGTCATGTTGATCATGTGGGATGAAATTGATTGAAGAAGAAGGCACACTCTGGCTCTGGGATTCTCTCGTACAGTTCATTCTCAAATCCCACCAAACTCTGAGCAATTAAACAAATGGAAATGGCCAATGGGCGGCTGAAGTTCAAGTTCAGTTTGTTAATGCCTTCTTCATGGGCTTTTAAGGGAATGTTTTGGATAAAGAAGGAAAATAAACAAAACAAAAGAGAGAAAAAAAGTAAAGGAAATTTGGAATGGATAACAACTGGCAACCACGTTGAAAATAAATAAAAATAATAAAAGAAACCAGGGAGAGGGCTCAGGCAGAGAGCTCGAAAAAGAGAAGGATTCGTGAGAAGGAAAATGGAGAGGAAAAGATAGAAAGGAAACATCTCGAGAAATGGGTTTCCTTCTATGTGGCATGTTCTTGTTTCGAGCAGCATTATTGGCTGAAAATGCAATTAAAGTCAGCTGCATTGGGAAAGATTTGGGTATATAAATTTGTTGGATCCATGAGTAGTTTGAAATAAAGTTTCACATCCACTGCGAAAATGGGTGTAATTTATAAAAGAGAACAATTATCTTCTTTCATGTGAAGTTTTTGGGTGAAATCAAAAGTAAAACCGTGAGAGTTATGCCAAAAGTATAAAATATTATACCATTATGAAGATATCTGGAGTACCGTTATCTTCAACAAGTGGTATTAGAGTCTTGGCAGAAAAAAAAAAAACAACCAAGCTGTGTGGAGGAAATCCTTGGTGGCCGAACAAGAGTGATTGGTAAGAATTCCGTTCGAGTGGAGGAGATTGAAGGTGTGATAAAAGCGGGCTTTCGTTCCCTGTCGGGAGTAGATGAGTCACATTGGCTAGGGAATATTATATCGAGATACTTGGTTATGGAGATATACTTGAGGTACCGTTGTCCTCAACAAAGTTAAAACATCCTCTTCATGATAATGTAATCTTTTGGGGATATCAAAACTAAAATAATTGGGACTTTTGAAAAGTCGACAATATTATATACCAGCCTAACTTAGTCCAATGATAATTGACATACAATAAAAATATAGATGTTAGTCCGATGATAATTGGCGTACAAAGAAACGTGGAGGGTGATATATTGTTACTAACATGAGTCTTAATTCTTCTTTTTATTAAAACAATGGATCTCTTTTCTTGAGATTAACAAGTCGAGGAAGGAAGAAGAAAGAGAAAAGTAAAAGGTTGAAGAAATTAAAATAATGTTATCCTTATTTTATAACCAATTTGGCATGAGTAGAGCATGGATAAGGAATAAGATAAAGAAGAGGGAGATCTCTTTAGTTTGGTATGGCAAGTCACTCACGTGGGGAATAAAAATGTAGAAGGATGGATTATTTTACTATGAAAAAGTACCATAAGGAAGGTTGAAGTTATTGGAAAGAGAGTGAATGTATTTATAGAACTACGGGTCTTCATACTTCGATATTTGAAATTTAGAAGGGTTTAATTTACAAGAGAAGGAAATTAGTGGTGCTAAATAAACGTTGTGCTGTCAAAACGAACATAGTTCAACGGTAATTGACATATACATTCAAAAGAGAGAACGAGAAACAAGAAATTTATTTTTTTGTTCTTTCCAAAATTTCTATACAAATTTTAGAATGTTTTGTAAAAAAGAGAAACAACAAATATAAATAGTCGGTGAAATGCATAAAGAACTTTTCTTTTGCTTTCGAATCTATATCTCAAATATCTAAAGTCCTTACATGTACAATTTTTAATAATAAGAATTATTCTAGTAAATTTTGTTTAATATTGTAACTTATTATTTTTTTTCTGGAATATTGAATAAGCTCTCGACCTATCTTTTCTATAATGTATTTTTTTTTTTAAATTCTCTATAATTATGTGTAATATATTCATGTTTACGACTCCATGTTATGAACTATCAATTATAGAGGTCTTAACTATGGGACAAGTCATGTCATTTTTAATTAATTTATAATTTAGATTTTAATAAGAAAGACTAAATTTTAAATTATAAAACTTGAGAGAATAAAATAAAATCCATTAAATTTTAAGATGTGAAGTAGAAATGTGAGTAAAATTTAGAGGGAAAACGAATTCCTACTACATAGTTGAGAATTGTCCTTACTTAAAATCACAATTTACTTTATGCACGAGAAAATACTTCTCTACCAAAAGTTTGTTTAACCAATAAGAGAGAATGCTAAAAAGAGAAAAGAAAAAAAAAAGAGAGATTTATTCTCTATTTTTTTTAGTGGTGGTAGATCATGAATGAGAATGTATTATTCCTATATCAATATAGGAAAATACTTAAATCCTTTTCTACGAGTAACTAATCGTTAAATTTTAAAATATAACTAATTGTGAAATTATGTTGGTAAGAACAAGATTTCATCTTGGCTAATAAACAAGGAGTGAGATATTTTTCCACTAATAAAATGGAGAGCTATAAATGTAAAAAGAAAATTAGAGAACAATATAGTAGGGGTTCGAACACAGGACCTCCGATCTATTCTAATACCATATTAAGGATAAATAAATCAATATTCAACTCAAAAGTTTAATCTAATAGTTCGGATAAATGAGTATTTCTCATCTAACAATGAGTTCAATGTTTTATACTATTCAAAAAGCACTATTAAAATAAATTACATGAAATAACTTAATTTATTTGACACTAAAAAAAAGAGATTAGGAGAGGTAAACACTGAAACGGACAATCATATCCTCTCCGTCAGTCATGTGTTGGTTCTCCCGACGGCGGAGATTCTCGATCACCGCAAACCCTCCAGCCTTCTCATACTTTCCTGTGCCACCAACCACTGCAATTGGCGATTCCGGCGACACTCTCCGGTGGACCCCGAAGAAGCTTATCGTATCCTCATCCTTGCCGTCGTCTTGATTATGTTGGTGCAATACGACGGTGAATGCTATCGTATGGCTGGAGCCGTCCGAAGAGCAAACAAAGTAGAATCCTTGTGCTCTTCCCATAACGGCAGATCCCAACTCTTCACCTTCTGTTAACTCGTCGTCCATGGCCGTGAGTTGACCTGCGGTCAAAACTTTTCCACTGTTGTAATTTTTGTTATTGTTGATCAGTGGGACCCCACCGGGGAGAGGAAAGATGTTCTTGTTGGGTTTGGAGAACGGAAGGTCGGCGGCGGCGGTATCCGATTCGGCTGTGATTCCGGTGACCACTCTAGCAGATGGGTGGGACCCTCCCAAAACATCATGCATGAAGAATGATAACGTAGGATTCGATGATGGGCTGACAGAGACCTGAGGTTGTGGGCCGGGTCTATCTGGCGATATCATCGTAGTGAGGCCCATGACAAGAGGATGTTGTGGGCTGGGACTTAGTAATGGGCCTACAGCAGCCGGTGGATTGACCAGGTCAAAAGGTTGTGGGACGACCTGGAGAAGGATTCTAGATGAGTCAGCAGAAGATAAAGCGGTGACAACTAAGAAGATAGAGAGTGGAATCTTGGTTGGGTTGGCCATTAATCCGTTGGGAGACTTGAAGGAAAATGATTTGAGAGTAGGGTATATATATATATAGTTAGGGTGTAAGTGAGGTGGATGAGATGGAGTTGTTAAATATGCCTTTTCTTTTTCTAATGTGTTTTAGTTGAATTACCTGCCCCATGAAACAATATATCTTTTTTGAATAAAGAAGAAATAACAAGAAACTATAAAAGCACTTCTTTTTGTATTTATTAAAAAAGAGGAAAGCAGCTGAGACAAAAAATGAAAAACTAATAAATATAAACATCATCAAGTATCATTCTCAAAAATCAAATTAAAAACTAATAAATATAAACATCATCAACTCATCATTCTCAAAAATCGAATGAAAAACTAATAAATATAAACATCATCAAGTCATCATTCTCAAAAATCAAATCAAGTGATCACCAACCATTTAACGCTAGCTAACAAGTATTGATTCTCATCAAGAGTACTCTCTTGTTAGGGATAAAACTATATATCATCACAAATATAGGCAATATATTGTCCAATTAGGTTCAATTGATTCGCTAAATTAAATCAATTTGAACTTACTGTTGGGAAGGAATAGACAAAGGAACTATGCAAAAGATAAATATAGAGGCAAACTAATATAATGAGAATATAAAGGAACTATGCAAAAGATAAATATAGAGGCAAACTAATATAACGAGAATACCAAATCTATTAGATTTTTTCATATTGAACAAGGAATATGTTGTGCCTTTATATAGGCTAACAACAATAACAAAAGTAGTATGAACATGCCCACCAATTATCCCATTATCCCACTTCCTTAGTGTCATGATAATTGGTGTCACTGAATTACATTTGAACTACTTAATTATTCTATTTCTTTACTGCGACCATAATTGGTGCTGCTAAGTTACATTTGAACCACTCCATTATCCCACTTCTTTAGTGCCGCAATAATCGGTGCCACTAAGTTTGAATTATTCCTTCAATACTCACAAAATAAAAAAAATAGATAAACAAAAGTAAAACTTCTAAACAATAAAAAAATATAATAAATCAAGATAGGAGAAGGAGAGATTGAAACCAAATTTATACCGGTTTAGGTTCAATTTTCAGCTACGGTTCAGCTTCCTATAAAATGTGAAGGAGGGGAAATAGTAGGAGAGTTTACAACCGCTAAAAAAAACTTAATTACTCTACAAAGCTCTTTTAAACTCTCAACAATGGTGCCCTCATGCACTCTCTCTCTTTTTGTCGTACAAATGAACCCGTCACTACACTGCCCTCTAATTTAACAAAATAAAAGACAGTTTGAAAATAATGGCGGTAGCCCAGCAGCGCTGCACTAGGGATGAAAATTGTCATTATTCTCCACCTTTTTGTCCTGTGACGATGGTGTGGGCCTCCGTAATAGCGCCATGTTTGCTACCAACTTGAAGTTACGCCTTAGACTAGCGCCATGACTCGCCGTAACTGTGCCAAGGTGAGCAACAGTGTCAAGGTGGTCTGGGGTCGAGATTTTCGGCTCTGCAGCATCTTTTGGTTCCCTATTCTCAGCATCTAGATCTCTCTCCCTTTTTCTTTTATGAAGTTGACGAAATAAATCAACGAGCAGAGATGTAGTTGATGAGAACATAAATTTATGTTGACGAGGCTTGAAAAGAAATCTAGACATGTAAGTGTTGTGAAATGTATCGACCCATAGCTTAAACTGAAACGCACAACAAATAACTGGAACAATTGCCATTGCGGCAATAGTGATCGGAACGCAGATTTTAGCCTCATGGTAGAGGATAAAGAAGGTTGCACTGAAGGCCATAACCATGCACACAATAGAGATGAATAGCAATGTAAGTCCCAAGAGCAATCTAGAGGGTAGTGAGTGTAAGAAATCTTCTTCTGCGTAGCGTGAAGTTAGCATTGACAAAAACATCAAAATAGAACTTGAGGATGTGAGCAGGGCAGCCACATCTGCTATCACAAAAACGGTGAACCAGACCTTGTGTAGAAAAATAGGGGTGCCAGTATTATCATCGCTACCGCCAGGAATAGTAAAGGCTGCAGCAAAAACTACAGTGGCGATTAGAGTAGCGACAAGCATACACGAGTTTGCAGTGCTTTTCATCCACTTCTCACCATCTTTCCGAAGCTGTTTGTGCTCTTCTGTGAATAATTCACGTGGTGTCAATTTGGCCGATGGATCATCATTATGACATTTGGCCTCAAGTTGGAAAGGCAAAACTATCTTCTCCACTTCCTTAAACCAAAGTAGTTCCCGTTGCATTTGAAGTGCAGCTCCTGAAACTCTATTGAGATGATTTGAAGAAGCTATTTTTGCAGCTAAATGTAGCATGTTGTACTTTTCTTTGCCAACTGTCCTATATTTTGTAGTGAAGTCCTTCACCACACTAATCTCGTGAATTAGTTTGAACACATTCTCAAGTCGATTTTCCACTGCGATATGAAATATGCTCTTACCATCATGATCACCTTCCCATGCAATATATGGGTGTGAGCTGATAAGAAGAATCAGAAACTCAACATTCCCTGCCTTTGCAGCATCATGTAATAATCCTGTGGGACGTTTAATGAACTCCCGCAGCTCATTTTCTTGCAAATTTTGTAGAACATGACCCCACAGTGAACTAACTAATTTACGAGCTACTGTCTTCATCACATCTTTACTGTACATCTCTTTAATGCCTACAGTCAAAAGATTTTGAATTGTATGTATGTATACGTGTAATTGTGTATGTACTAACCAAATGAGTATAAATGTAGGTTTGAAAATAAAAACTAACCAGAGTTGATGTACTTTTTCCAAACATTTATCTCATTTCTACTACTGATTGCTAATGGCTTTCTGGCCAAGACATGCAATGCTGTCTCATTATTATTCTTTTTGTCTCTCACAGTTGCTAACTTCTTATTTTTCTGCCAAATCTCCATACTTATATCTGTGAAGAGAAAATACAAAATCCAAATCTCAAATGAAAAGAAGCATTATTGTGAGATGAAAAAAATTAGGTGCTGAAGTGATTAATATATATTACCATAAAAGCCACTGTGTATGGTGGCAATAAGAAGCCCAACCTGTTCTTGAGGGCTTAATTTGTTGAGATCAGTGACAGATAAGAGGTAGGAACCATTTCTCTGCGTTTATATGATATTGCCATGAAAAGTGGAGTTACGTTTTCGGAGCCACAAATAAATGGAAGATCTTTATTCTTTTTCACCAACAGATCAGCAGTTCTAACGACTCCTGATGTAGCAGCGAAGCAAAGGGCAGTATTCTCATATTTGTTTTGCCGAATCATGTCAGCTTTGCTCATTTTTTCGATCAACTTCTTGACGAAATCACTATGTTGGGATCCAGCAGCAATGTGAAGAGCATTCTCTTTGTCACTTGTTATCGGATCAGTCGGTCTCAATTTTGAGTTGTTAAAAATAGATTCAGCTTGTTGCCAATCGCCGATAAGTGTAGCTTGGTAAAGACTAATTTTGTCTATGGCTGAGAACATAAATATCATATATAAATTATATATACACACACAATATTGCTACCGCTATCAGACCCAAAACGCTTGTCACCCACTGGCCACTGCCCACTCCAAAACTGGACATTTCAAAACTTGCAAATAATATTTAAAAATTGTGACACGAATATCATACATACATGAAAACTTTAAGTTTCGTCACTTTTTTTACCGGTTCCTAATAAGCGGATATCCTGCATGACTTGGGCAAAAGCCTTCTTATACGGATCATCGGCAGTGGGTGCCATTTGGGCGTCGTCAGCCGTAGACGGCGGAGGAATGGGATTGGGTTCAACAACAACCTCGACTTCCTCATTGATGGAAGCAGAAGAAGCATGTGGTTGTGGGTGTGGGAAAGAAGTGGAAGATGATGATTGGGCCATGGAATTGCTCTCACTCTGAGCCTGAGGAATGGCAGATCTTACAGAAAAGGAAGAAGGAGATAAGTTTGATGCGAGATGAATGGACTGGAGAAGAAAAAGTGGATAAGCAAGAGAGTCAATAATTAAGTAGTTCAATATATCTTTCATTTTTTCTCAATGAAAACCACGTTTCTCATAAAATTAAAAAATTAATTAAGTAGTTGAAGAAGAAAAAAGATTACACAATAAATAGAGCAGAGACCAAGACTTTGATTATTACAGTACGAAGAGTGGGTGGCTGTCTATCAATATCATAAATTAAGATATAACTTCAAGTGAAAAAGTGAAAAAAAAAAAAGGGGGAGAGAGAGTTAATGGGAGAGGGGAAAAAAAAAACTAGTTGCAAGAGAAAAAGGGCGGGAGAGAAAATTAGGAAAGGCTACATCAGCCATCCAAGCCACTTAATTTAAAATAGTCATATCATAGAACGTATACCAACACCATGTTGGAAGTATCGATGTTTTGATGAAAATGTAGAGGTCGATTTTATGGACATATCGATATTCGGGAAAAATCATAGAAATTATAGATATTATATTGATACAAATTTTTTGAATTAGTAAATGAGATTTTAATTGTAGCTTAATTAATTCGTAATTTATCACTTTTGACCATCATATATTTAAATATATAAGTAATATACTTATGGAAATATGACCAAAACTCTTTTTTCTTGAAATCAGAGGATTAGGTCCCGGAATTCTCGGAGTTGAAAATCCCTCAATTCAAACGTGATAAAAACATCAGAACAAAATCATGTATACACGCATGAAAATTATTTGAATTAGTGAATTAAAGGTATTGTTGCTTTGTTTTGATTATGTTTTATTGATAATTTCTAATCTAATATAATATTTAGTTACATAATTGAAGTGAAATATCAATCATATAAAAGAATGAAATAACCGTAAAAAATATAAAAAATAAAATTTGTTATATACAAATGGGGTGGTATAACTTAATTAGTAAAAAAAAATAATATTTTCTTTTAATTAAAATAAACCTGCATAATCTTTAAAGAAAGTCCAAATTTGAGTGCTGAAGATTTTTTTTTAGAGAAG